TTTGTTTGAACCCCAAAATCCAGTACAGTATGATCATAACGTTATGAATACTTTATACTAGCAAAAACCCATTGGTTTTGAGGTAGGGCCATCGGTTTGACAGGCTATCGAATAGCAAAATAAATTTTTTGGGGGTTAATTATCATTCTATTGACCAGTTTACACATCATGTTTAACGTGTTTAATGTCGAGACACAATAAGATATAAGGTTTGAAAAAAGGATCCAAAAAACCAAATCGGCTGAGATGGAGCTCCATAACAAATAAACAAATATTCTAAAACAAAAAACTGTATAAATTTATTTAAGTTATAGACATACAGAGAGGTTTTTTTATTTTATTATTAAAAAAATTTTTATAAAGTCATGCAAAATTTCCTTTTAATATTATCAAGGAAGAAAATTTTTAATAGTAAATCGCATAACTTTAAACCTTTATAAAATTTTTTGATGTCTTTTGTTATGTGAAAACTTGCATATTTTTATATTATTTTTGCGTGACTAAGGCCATGATCCTACACCGAGATCCTTTAATAAAAATCTTCTCCTTTACTGTAAATAACACTAAGTGAGAATCTGGTCTTGCTGGTGCAATTATCTTTTATATTAATATTAAATATTTCTTATATTTCAGAATTGTGGAATGAATCCCTTTGTAAGGAGAAAAGCAAAAGTAAAAGAAATCCATTTGTTAAAGGTTGGATTTAATAATTAATAATTATTTTTTTAATTTTACAATGATGAAGTAAAAGGAGGAACTACGGATGAATTCAGTCAGCTTGTTTTTATACCTTTGTTATCATTAAAAGCTGCAGTCTTGACTTTAGGCATCAAAGTCATACGAAATATAAAATTATATCGAATATACTTGGAAATAAAATAATTTATATATATGTATATTATACTGTGGTCACGGAATCTAGGAATAAAAATGGCAACCTAATGCTAAATAGGAATATAAAAGAAGAAGGATTTGGTCTTGACTAGAATTAAAGTTGGGTTCGGGCTGATACAAGAATCTACTTTTAATGTTATCATAGCAATATAAAATAAATCACATCATATCCATTATATAATTTTAATAAATATTTAATTCTATGATGAATAAATATTACCTTCAAATCTAAAAACTTGATATAGCCTTGTTTACATCTACGATACTTGATCACAATGCAAAGAAATATTTTATAAATAAAAGTTTATCTTCACAGCAGACTTGCTACAAATCAATCTCTCGTATACCCCCCCCCCCCCTCATTGATCATGGCAGTAATTGTTACGCTTCTTCTTACAGGTATGGTCACTGTCCGAATAAAATTTACCTGAATTAAACGAACGATTCGTAATTAATTTGAGTATTCGAATCATTCGAATATCGTCTCTACTCAGGCGAAAATGCCTTTCGGAAAGCTCGATTTTTACTGCTAGGGATCCTATTTGAATAATTCAAAGGAATCAAATAAAAATAATTTTGTTTGATCTTCTATAATCACTGGTATTTTATTATGATATCCATGTATTCACCTGGATCTTTAGTATATTTTATTTATTTTGTTTGTTTAATGTTGTAGATATGAATAATTCGAATAATTACCTAGCACTATCAACAATAGCAACATTGATAACAACAACAACAACAACAACAAAAAATAATAATAAATAAAATTAATTACACTCAAAGCTCCTAAATTTTTGTTCACTGTAACGAGTGTTTTTTTTTATCTTTTAAACGCACGTTTAAACTTTGTAGTTTCAGATGGATGAATAAATAGTCTTCTATTTGCATGTTTCTTTTTGATTAATTTATCTATATTTAAATTTTATAAAATTACAACTTTAGTTTTTTTCACAATGAATAAAGTCGTCATGAATATAAAATTTCAAAATATTTCAAATACAAAAAAAAAAGAGATTTATTTAGTCATGCTATTTATTTTTTTAAATCATGATATTTATTTATTTTAAATCATGTTGTTTGAATTATTACTATTTTAAAAATGGGATGTTGGGTAAAGATTCTTTATCTCGTGTAAATATTTGACGGTTGTAATTGATAAATTTAGAAAAAGGGCAAATTAACACTATTACTATATGTTCTATGTAGAAGATTGTCAATGGTACACGATAATAATAGAGATATTTTATTACAACAAAATTTATTATAGGTGAACTGCGGTATGAAAAAGTTCCATTCACACTATAACGAGAGATCCTCTATAACTGTAATTCGTGAACTGCATAGAAATTCGAATTCTTGAAAAATCAAAAACTTGTAAATAAGGTTGAGACTTTTTGTATCTGTGTGTTGTTGGCAAAGAAAAATTTTGATCAATTGTAAGCAAAATTTTGGTTACTCATGTCATTTAGACATTCATTGATGCACATGTAGATGTCAAGACTTTACATGTATTACAAATCTGTCAGGTTACTTGTGACAACTTGAAAGGTTCAGTAGAAATATTTATACTTGAATCAATTATTCGTAAAATTGAAAAGAATTGACAAAGAATATATATCCTCTTCAACATTACATAATTTTTTTTGTAAATTTATGATGAAATATCCAATATGAAAGGACGTCTTTAAATTCTTCTCGTTAAACAATCACCGCCTATAAAACGGCAACATGTTATTAATACATTAACAACAAATCTCCTGACATCAATTATTTATTGTTACTCAAAAAAATATTCCAGCATGATAGTTACTGTATGAATTGATCGACATAACCTGAAATTTTGAAAGTGGGATGATGGATGATATGATTTTTTTTTTTTTAAATTTGCTCAAGAAATAAAATTTTTATTATAAATAACCAAGTAATTAGACCAATACCTCTAATTGTTTCAATCAAGACCAATAAATTAATAATAATAATAATTCGTATTCCATACTCTAAAAAAAATAAAAATAAAAATAAAACGCTTAATTTTAAACCAAACGAACATTGGTTGATTTTTCTCATACATCATTGAGGTTTAACTCTTTTCTCGAATAATAACAAAAATGATAGTTGGACGTACATTAACACAAGAAATACGTTTAATGGCTCGAAGATTCCCGGTGGAAGTTTTCCCACTTGTTACGGTTACATCATTTGCGCTTTGTTACGCAGTCGGTCAATCATATCATTCATTATACAGTGACAAAAGCTTACGGCATCTTTCTATTTTACATCGACCACAACAACAAGAACAATCGTCGTCGTCGTCGTCTAAATGATTTGGATTTACTTGGATTTATTATTTATTATCATCTTTTCAATTTTCTTTCAATTTGTAAAATTTTTCATCTGTTTAGTAATTTTTAATAAAAATAAAATTTGTTTTCCCAATTTAATATTGCATGCATGACTTTATTATTTTTCTTTTTCAAGTAATTCAATACAGTCGAACTCGTCAAACCGAAGTCAATGTTACATAAAAAACTTTGATTTAATAAATAAAATCGGCTTATAAATAAATTTTAATAAAAAAAACCATCGGTTTATCGTATGTATTTGTTTTTATCAAAACATCATCGACTGTAATTAATTAAAAAGGAAAGCTTATGCTATGCGTTCGGAGTATTATTGTGTGTTAGATGAATACAAGATATTACTGTTATAGATTCTTTGACAAACGGAGAAAATCTTTTGTATGTTATTATTGTGCTAACACGTTAAGGAGAAATTAATTAAAAATTTGTTTTATTATATTGCTATATTAGGTGAATACATTTAAATTATAATGAACATGTATGTCACAAAGAATTTACAGGGATCAAAATTTAGCAAAGCCACAATTGTACTCAATTAAAATGTCACAAATAAATTCATTGGTCAGCATCAATTGAAGATTTTCATTGTAGCCACATTGTATCAACGTTAATGGCTTGCCCAAGTTCCTTTTAAAATTATTCATATAAACCAATCAATTCAAAAGTATATATAAATCATGCCAAGCTTATTCTTCTTTCGTTTTGGCCTTACCTTAGTTGTTCAGGTTTGTTTCACTTTGGCTTTTGTTTGGTTAATTCTTGAATAATTTTTTCCTGTTTAATTAATCTTTAACCTTGTTCTGAAGTTCTTAAATAGTATTTCATTTGGTCCTTGCGTTTTCAAAATAACTGACACTATCGAAGCACATACCTAGTCAAAGAAAGAACTACCTATTAAGTTTACCAGGAAGAATGAAAGATCATAACCAATAAAAAGATATTATTATTACAAATAATAAATTGGGATCTTTAAGTAAGTTGTCGGCATTATATGCTATCTTTAAATTGATCTGTAACAAGGGCAAATGCTATTGTAAAAATACTTGTGATCCATATGGATGGGATTCTTTTACAATGTCTACAACATGATCTACGGTCTATACATATAATTTTTTAATTAACCCAAGACTACCATCACATTTGAATTTAACATACCTTGGAATCATGAAATTTAATTTAAACAATCGAATAACTATTATTTTATTTTGTTCATCTGCATTACCACAAGCAACCTTCAGATACTTAATTCCATATTAAGTGTACTCCCTCCTATCAAACTTATTTACTTGTTTATCAAAAGGTGATAGATCAATTTTTCTTTGTTCTTCAGCTAATTATTATAATAGTTTCTTTTTAATTTGTTTTTAACAGATGTTCTTTCGGCCTCTTCTTCTTTATGAGCTTTATATTGAGAGCCATTATGAAAATGTTGACAGAATTACATAACAAGTTCGTTCATAATTTGGATCCTTGTGTGACTTTCAGATCTGCCGTTGACTACTAAATTTTGGCCCCTGTAGTCTTTTCGGTTTTGGTGGCGCTATGTTCATAATAAAAATGTTGGTTACACGCATATAAAATTAATTATATTAATTAATCGAGTGGAATAGAAAATTCTTTTTTAAATATTATTCTCTTCTTCCTACTAATACTACTACTACTACTACTACTTCTTCCTTCATCATATAATCTTCTTCTCATCAGCTCTAAAAGATATTGTGTTTGCTGAGAAAATTCACACTCTTTTATTTTAAAATTTTTTTTTGGTCAATTATTTTATTTCCAAAATAAGATATACTCCTTACTTATTTAATTAACGGTTTTACCAATAATCCCATTCCAGGATCCTTTAAATTTCTTTATAATAATTGAGGAAAAAGTGAAGAAAAAAGACCAAAAAAAAAAAAGTGGAATTGCAGTGCAATTTCGTTTTTCAATAAGTTCTTTTTTTTTCCTAGCCACCACCAACTTTCCTCTTTTTTCATTTATGTATTAAGAATTTCTTGTATTTTTTTTTTTTCTTTTTAAAAAATGTTGCTTTCACGAATAATATTCGTTAGCATAAGTGTTTTGTTCTCGGTGAGTATTTATATTAATGTTAACCATTAAAAATTAAAATTCCATCACCATTGCTAACATAACAGCATTATCCTATTATTATATAGTGTTATTGTGTGTCAATAGCCATTCTCACATTTTTAGGAAAGAATGGTAATCATAATAATACATTTATTACTATTTAATTATTATTATATCATGACCAGTTTAATAAATCATAATCAAATCATTTATTTATAGTTGCTACTTACCATTTACAAAAGATATATCTTGTTGGATTTGCTGCAGTTTATGCTATTTTAGCACCATTTGGAATAGCGGGAATTATTGGAGGATTAAATGTATGAATATTTATATTAATCTATTATATCTAATATATAATAAATTTCAATTATTCTTATTAGTCTCCATTTCTCATATCCGCCTATTTTTTTTTTTAGAGAAAGAAAGCATTGATAAAAGGATTTATGATCCAGTATTGGATTGCCACAATTGTATTTGTTGGATTAAGTGTTGGATTGATAACAATGGCTGGCAGCAGTAAAAGAGACACATTCATCAAATGTAAAGGTGAATTTCCGCCTAATAGTGAAGAAGATGTTAGACAAATTTGTATAAATAGGGTTTTGGAATTTGAAAATATTACAAAAATTGCTTCATATGTACAAGGTGGTGTTCTAGTGTTTTTTGGAATATTTGTAACGATTTTTGGAGTTCGTGAATTTATGGATATTAAAATGGACGAAGAAACTTCCAGTTTACTTGATAGAGCCGATTTTAATAACAAAGAGGAGGTTGAATCTAGCACATCCTCTATGTCCGATCACAATCAATTATTACCGCCTGGAAGTGCATTAAATAGAAATATTAGTAATGCAAGTAGTGCTTATAGTAGTTCTTCTAGTAATAGTAATGGCAGTATAAACAGATATCCTCCTATGACACCATATTCTGGAGTACCGGGGAGAAATCCAGTACCATCAAATTATCCTCATCCAAATGCTACTAATTTATCACGTAACCCAACGAATGCAAGTAACTACACGACCATTACCACTGCATCATCTACATCAACATCAACAAAATATTCAAATCGTCATTATCCACCATCATCAAATAATTATCAAAATGTAAATAGAATTCCAACCGGCGGTGGTATATCACGTTATCCAACAAATGCAAGCAATTATTCATCAGTAAGTTCAAATAGTAACCGTAGCAATTATAGTAACTATAGCAATAATAATGTACCAAGAAGAAATTATAATGGCACACCACCACCTCAAATGCCACCACCATCATCACTACATCAGCATCAATATCATCCACCGCCACCGCCTTCATCATCAAGACCTCTTCAACAATATTCAACAATATCCAATAAACCATCTCACCAATACAATAATACCAATCTTCCTCCTCCTCTAATAATAAATGATGAATCTATTATTGAGGAGGAAGAAGGAGATTATGATGATTATAATAATTATAATTATGAAAATAATAATAATCAAAGATAATAATAATGAAAATCGTAATTATGATTATCATATCTATGTTGGAAGGACCACATCATCCATCAAATTTATCCAGAATGTAATTACATTTAAAATGACAATAATATTAATAAAAAAATTTTTTTGATCTAATTTTTTATTTTACATATATATATAATTTTAATATTTTTTATTTTTGTATAGAAATAAAATATAATTGATTTTTTATTTAATTAATTTCTTGTTTTATATTTATATTTATATTTTTTTTTGGTTTTGGTTTTGGTTTTGTTTCTTCTAAAAAGAAAAAAAATTTGTTTATTAATCATCATTCATCATTCATCATTCATCATTCATCAATCATCAATCATCATTCACCATTCATCATTCATCATTCATCATTCATCATTTATAATTATCATCATCTAATAAATATATAATAATAATAAAATATGAAATATTTTAAACTAAAATTTCCAAACATTCTATTTCTAAAGAATAATGCTTTATTAAAAATGCAATATACATATATATATCTAACATAAGTCACAAAAAAAACTTAACCTTTTTTTACTAATTTATATACTTCATATTCTTTGACTAAATGAATCAATACATCTTATTTGTGTGATTTAAATTTTTACTACAAGAATTAAATAATATATTTCTATAAATATAAACATGATACTATTATATAATCCTAAATCACTAAATTTTCATGTCATGACTTTTTATATTAATATTGTTACTTTATATTATTGCATATTCAGGATTCTAATTCTACTTATTATTATTGGAATTTTTATATCATTATTATCATCATCATTATTATTTCCATTGTCATTATTTCCCATATTTGGTTGCTGTTCATCAATCTTGAAAATGAAATTTTGTCTGTTTCAATCCAATATTCATCATCTCGAGACTATTCCAATAAACCAGATTATAACTATTAACTAATTCACCAGTTCCCTTAACAACCATTATTTGTTCAACGTTATGACATTTTTCCTCAAAGGCTAATTTAGAAAATCTATCTTTAATCCCACAATGTATTGTAAATTTTCCCAAGGTCGTAGGGGTTAATTTCTTTATTGTTAAGTAAGATAATCCCACTACTTTAAATAGCATATAAGTTCTTCTTGCTATGTTGGCCATCCTGATTATACTTGCCGCCCATACTCAAATCCTTAAAATCCCAACCCAACCCAACCCAACCCAACCCAACCCAACCCAATCCCATCCAAACCCAACCCAATCCCATCCAAACCCATATCCCAACCCATGTCCCATATCCCATATCCCATATCCCATATCCCATATCCCATATCCCATATCCCATTGATAGAATTAACAAAATATATGTATATTTATTAATAAAAAAATTTTATCATTTATAAAATTATTAAAACCATAAAAACAATTAAAAAGAGAAATAATTCTGTAATTACAACAGAAAACAATCATCAATCAAAATTATGATTATCTAACAATTCATCAATGTCAAAATTTGTATCTCCATGATCAATATCATTTTCTTCATAA